CGAGACTTGTTTCCCAAGGTACACATAACGGTCCACATACTCTATCAGTGTTCTATTGTCTATTATAGCCTTTTGTGTACTATTTGTAGAGACTTTTGTTTTGAATGTATTTAAATGTAGCCCTTTTTTGTTGCTGGCGTTGTTTAGTTCGCAAAAAATTGCTTCCAATTGTTTTGATGTTTTTGCAAAGAGAATGATGTCATCTGCAAAAGGTAGGTTGCTTATGAACTCTATATCTATTTTTATTCCTTTGTTTCTCCAATCTAAGTTTTGCATTATATCTTGTAGCCTTGTAGCACGGCTGTGAATATTTTCGGTGATAAAGGACCTCCTTGTTTCACTCCTCGCCTTATACAGATTTTTGTCCCCATTTTATCTAACTTTACCCTGCTTTTTGTTCTTGTATATGTTTCTGATGATGTTAATGTAAGTATTTGAAACGCCTTGGTTTGAGATTGCTTGCCATATGCTCTCGTGTGCGATTGAATCGAAAGCTTTGGCGTAATCTATATACGCGATGTATATAGGATGGTTGAACTCTTGATGTTTTGCCACCATTTGGTCTAATGTGTGGATGTGGTCCATGGTAGAGTAACCCGGGCGAAAGCCGGCCTTTTCCACTGGTTGGTGCTTATCTATGCTTATCGCTATTCTTTTTTCTAGACATATGGCAAATAATTTATATATTGTCGGTAGCACGCTGATAGGACGATAGTTGTTAATATCTGAGGAATCTCCTTTTTTGTAGAGCAGAATTATTCTTGACTCTCCCCACTTATCTGAATTTCTTTATTATTATTCTCTTTATTTACTTTAATAATGTCAACTTGAATAATAATGCATAATAACTACTGTCTTGTTTAAAACACAAACAAATATATCTGAAGTAGGTAATTTAATTACTGTGTTTAAAAAAGATCACAATGTAAATAAATGTTGTAATTTCAGTTTACTGAAATGGCTTGCGTGTGCTCGTGCGTCAGTTGATATCAGAGATATAAGCATAGAGTGCACAAGGGCCCCAATCTTGCAATAGAGGCAACGAGAGAGATGGATAATAGATAGTTCCCTCTATTTCTTTCTAGTCGAACTCTGTGGTTGGATGGGGAAATTTCTAATCTCCCGCCTGTTCTACGATCAAACCCACATTAGCCTAAAACATAGACAGAGGGAACTATCGGTCATCCATATATGTGATGATATTGTGAACACACGCATGCCCCCATGCTCCCTTTATGCCTATATCTCTATGGTTGATATTATGAACACACGGAAGGTTTACTGGGATTAGAAGTAGCTTAAGCAAGGAGTAGTTATTTTACGGATTCTTACTGTCTTTGATTGTATTTAAGCAAGGAGTTATTATTTCACGAATACTCACAATAAGGATCGAGTAACAGATTACATTATTAGTACAAAGACTCCTTAGTAGAATTAGTCACATTAAACATTACGAAAGTTAACCTAATCTCATAATAGGTAGAAGAACCAGCCTTGACCAAGGCTGGTGCGAACTGATGGTTAATTTAAAAAAAAAATATTGATCAAAATTCGGTTTCGATCAGTTCTGTGATGTTTGATGCCTTCTGGTCGAAACGTCCGGCAATCCTACACACATAATATTATTTATTGCATGAATTGCTTTAAGTAATCTACTGCTGGACATAGGCCTCTCCTTAGAAAGGAGGTTTTGACTTACTATACTACGCTGGAGCTGGATGCGAGAAGCCCAAAATCGATCTAAGTGGCGTGCAATGGGAGAGGCCTATGTCCAGCAGTGGACTGCGATAGGCTGATGATGAATACTACGCTGACCAGATGGGTTGATATTCAAGTTTTCCTTCTCTTTGCAGTGTTGTTGTCCTGCGTAGTTTGCTCCTTTAGTCGGCTCTTACGACACCCACGGGATGAATAAAGGTGGTGACACGGACATAGCTTACATTTTATTGGAGAGATAAATAAAAGAACAAGATAGAAATTCAACTAACATTAAACAATAATAAAAACATACATTCGAACATAATAGTGACTATAAAGGCATGCGATGAAAGTAGCGCAAGATGTATAACAGATTTGAACCGGTTTTCACTTAGAAGTGGTGCGCGTGCGCACGTGGGCTTTTGACAGTGTGTTTGTGACGAATACTGCATGCTATTGCGATTTCCGCCTTAATCTATTATTAAAGTTTATTATCCACAGAAAATCGTACCACGATTGTTGAATTACTAGCTATTGGCGACGGCTCCGCCCGCGTAAATGTCAGTTATCGTGTAAAAAGTAGCATATATGTCTTTCCTCAAGAATCAAAGTATCTCCATACTAAAGTTCTTGATTCCCCATACAAACTTCCACCCCCCTTTTCTCTCTTTAAAGTATGATTTCTGGGCTAAAAAGTAACCTATGTCCTTTCCCGGGACTCGGACTATCTCTATACAAAATTTCATCTCATTCGGTTCAGTGGTTTAAACGTGAATAGGCAACAGACAGATAGATAGACAGAAAGACAGACACACTTTTGTATTTATAATATTGGTATGGATTTTCGTGTTTTTAACTCTGAAAATAACGAACTTCCATACAACCCTAAATCACTTATTTACCCGCTTAGGGGTGAAATTTCCAAAAATCCCTTCTTAGTGGCTGCTTATAACTTTAAAGCACTAGCTTGTTTGTTTGTTGATTTGTTAGTTTCTTATTGTATAGACAACTCCTGCACTACGAGTATATCCTTTTTTTTTCCGTGCGGAAATCCCCTCGGATACCACCTATCGGTGGCATGGCGGACTCGAACCGACTAAAACCGCCGCCGTCTCGGGTACTAATAGCCGGGGAACCAGGTATACCCTAGAAACTAGTAGTATATCCTGTATGGTCGAACACTAATGAAACGGGCACAAAGAACAAAGTTTTGTCCCACGTGGGGATCGAACCCACAACACTCGTAAAACGTTTTTGCAATACGTACGTACAAGGCTGGTTCTGCCATTACTGGACATTATTACCCGAATGCCGCGAAGCTGAAAAGGAGGTTTTAAGCTTCATCTTTCATTCATATACAAGAACACTTGCACAGATGGTGTAATGGTGTAAGCGGTCACTTCGCCGCTTCCTTCTTACTACGAGTATAATAATAATATTGTACACATTACATCAGACACAAAACATTAACATAAATTATAATCTGATAAATTTGTCTTAAGAAAAATGATAATTTTATGTGCATAAAAATGTTTTAGACGGTTGCTTAAGTAACTTTTCGTAAAATTAAAAAAAAACTTTTTTTTAATTTCAGTTTCAGTTTTTAGCACAAAAAAAAAAGTGTAATAAATGGTTAGGTACAAACCTAATTTAAAGGTTGTCATTGTCATTGCTGGGCTAGGCCTCTCCTTAAAAGGGAGGTTTTGGTCTATTATACCACGCTGGCCAGACGGGTTGGTAAAGGATTTGTTTCAAGTTTTCTTTTTCTTTGCAGTGCTGTTATCCAGAGTAGTTTGCTCCCTTAGTAGGCTCTTACGACACCCACGGGGTGAATAGGGGTGGTGACTCTCTCAGGGCTCGTGACATAAAGGTTGTAATATTTTTTAATCACAATAATTTCAATGAAAATATCAATATAAAGACGTCTTCAATCAAGAGAAATACGCAGCCCCGACTTCTGGAGCTACCGTGGAAGGGTCATGCTGGGCACAAATGGGCCACCTCGACCTGAGTGATACCACGGCCTCACAGAAAACCGGTGTTAAGCTGTTCTTCATTGTTTTCCACTGAGTGTGGTTGTCGGAGCCCAAACCCTCTTCCCTCTGATTCTTGTGAGTCGTGAGTTTCATTTGCCCTCAAATCATGATGACATCGGCCATCAACTTCAAAGAAACCCTTGCTTTGAACTAAAACATTCTTTGTGGCTTTCGATCAAGCTTTTTAAAAATGTCATTGTAAAATAAATAAGTTAAAAATATTAGATAAAATAACTTTGAAAGTAAAAAGTTACGTAAAGAACTTTCTAGGAAATATTAGGTAATTATATTAGATTAGAGTATCGGTTACGGAGTGGTTCTGGTTTGGTTGTTATATATTTAATCGTTTTAGAATAATTCGTTTAGAAATCGTTACAAATAAAAGGGAGAAAGGCCGCGGCCCAAGTACTAATCATTGCGAGAACTTTCATTGCGAGATGCAGGATCGGTCATTACTCTTAATTTGGTTTTGCTAAAGTTTGCTAGATGACGCTGATTGTGTTTTCTGTAAAGCCCAAGTTCTTATTGGCATGAGTAAACCTATTGCGCGATGACGATAAGTATATTTTCTGTAAACCCCTTGTTCTACGGTGTTAGAACTTTATTGCGCGATGCAGGAACGGTAATTACTGTTTGATGGATGAAGCTGATAATGTTTTCTGTAAATCCCAAGTTCTATCAATGCGAGAACTTTTATTTCGCGATCTACGATCGTCACTTATTTCGTAGTTCGGTCTATCTTCGCTAGATGGCCCTTTAAATATTTTCTCTTGATCACATTATTTTACTTTTCCGGTAATGTTGATGAAACAATGGTCTTTGCTCTGTTATGGTGTCCGTCTATCACGGTACTAAGCCAATGGTCCGAAGTTACATTCACAAGATAGATAGATAACTCTTTATTTGCACACATTTTACAAGTATTATGGTACATCAAAATTTCAGACATGTAATGTAAAAAGGGCGGCCTTATTAGTAAGAGCAATCTCTTCCAGGCAACCTTAGGATGGATTAAAATGTTTTGGAGAGACAGTAGTAGTTGAAGGTGCAATGATAAAATTCATAAACACGTATACAATATACATACATACACACATATACATACGATATACATAGTTATCTAAGTATATCAAAGAAAAGGAACGTCCTTATCATGCCTTGACGCGTAATTGACTTAATCAAAGTTTATGAAACGCAACGAAATGAACATTCATCCAGCATAAACGAATCTCCATAATATAACAGTCACCATTCTTCTGTTTCCAGGCAGGACCTTCGGACGGCCGTTAAAGAAGATGGCGCAAGCTCTCATCCCTCTGGCCTTCCAAATAGGAGCAGCCTCTACCTGGATGATAGTGGCAGCCATAGTCGGGTTCAAGACCCTGCTAGTCTCTTTGATGATATTGAAGCTGCTTCTACTGGCTGGAGCTGCGAAGGTAACAAACAAAATATTTGAAATCATATCTTACTTTTTTTTTATGTTAGAGTTTTCAGACGAGCAGACGGGTCACCTGATGGAAAGTGACCATCGCCGCCCATGAACGTCTGCAACTCAGGAGTCAAGTCTTATGAACACACTTAAGTCATAGATCAACACACACAATAGCATCAATCTGCGTCCAATATTTAGCAAAAGTATATCTATAGAAAATCTATTATATGCCTGTGTCGATCTACAACGGATGTTTCCAAGGGTTTGAGCCTTATGAGGAAAAAGGGCAAACAAACTCACGGCCCCTCTTTTTATATTACCATATCGATATCATCAACAGCCTTTAATAGTCCACTGTTGGACACATGCCTCTACTTAGAAAGAAGGTTTTGGCCTACTATATCACGCTGGCCAGACGGGTTGGTATAGGGTTTGTTTCAAGTTTTCCTTCTCTTTGCAGTGCTGTTGTCCTGCGTAGTTTGCTCCCTTAATTGGCTTTTACGACACCCGCGGGATGAATAAGGGTGGTGACACACCGTATTCTAAATCCGTCACTACGTAGTCAAGTTGTATATATCGTTATAGTGGAATCATTAAATCTACTACAACATTCTTTTGATGTGTGCCAACATGTCAGTGGTAAGGGATTATCGCCACCCATAGATACCTGCAGCTCAAGATGTGCAGTGCCACCCTATTTGTGGAACAACAAAAGGGGTCTTGAGCCTCTGGTAGTCTTACTCACTTGGTGATCAGCCACTCACTCCAGATCTCCCACGATTGTATACCTACCGTTGTCGGATACCTGACAATAACCAGTGCTAGTTATAACTAGCACTGGTTATTGTCAGGGAGTGAGTCCTCTAACCCTGTGATGAGTCGTATAAGTAGATGTGTTGACAATAAAACTAGAATAACCAATTCTATTTCTCTTCTCGAATTTAACGCTAAACTCACAATATGGGTTCTAATACGGATCGAAAAACTTAAATATATTATTTTGGTAAACACCGCACCGACGCTCTCATCATCAGCAACAGCCTATAATAGTCCACTGCTGGACATAGGCCTCTCCTTAGAAAGGAGGTTTTGGCCTACTATACCACGCTGGCCCGACGGGTTGGTATAGGGCACCGAGGCTCTGGTCTGGAGGTCCTAATAACATCAGTTCCCAGATCCCTCCTATTACAGGCGCAGAGTGGCACACCGTGTGGTTTTAGTCGGTCCGATTCCGACACACCACCCCGCCGTAAACCCCGGTGGGGTGACGGCCCGAGGGGGTTTCCACACGTAAAAAAGATAAAAAAAGGGCACCGAGGCTCTGCCATGTAAATATACCTGTATCTCTGGACATCGACAGAAAGAAAGAGAAAACTTTTATTTTGGCAATAACACAACACTTTTGACAATTTTACAGCTTGAATTACCACCGATGCCAAAAACGGACGGACGGAAATATGTATGTTTATCAGCTGTCTGGTTACCATAGTACAGGCTCTGCCTCATTTGGGATCAGACTGCTGTAAGATGTGTTTAGTTGTTATTGTTATATCAATGATTTACAAAATAACCCGCGAACTACACCTCAAAGTCTTTCGGTTTAAACGGAACACTAAAACTTAACAGTACATATCATATCCCGTAAGTAATCGCATCTCTTTCTATCTTGATAATGCTCTCCCTTTTACTCGCTATCCGGTTGTAAGTTGCACACTTTCACTGAGGTAATACTATTTGTCTTATCGATGTGACCTTGAAACAACGTTCAGTGTTTGAAACTAAAAAACTGTAACGTCCCATATCTCACACACTAGGCAGAGCCTGTACTATGGTAACCAGACTGCTGATAAACATACTAATATATTTCTAAATACATACATATTAGAGACTAGCTGACGCGCGCAACTTCGTCTGCGTCTCTCAATAGTAATGATTTTTTTCCGTTTTTGAAACATTCTTCATTGGTGCTCCGCTCCTATTGGTCTTAGCGTGGTGATATATAGCCTATAGCCTTCCTCGATAAATGGGCTATCTAACACTGAAAGATTTTTTTAAATCGGACCAGTAGTTCCTGAGATTAGCGCGTTCAAACAAACAAACAAACAAACTCTTCAGCTTTATAATATTAGTATAGATAAATTATACCCAGATACAGAACAAATGATCGTGCTAATTACATCATGTTTGTCTTGGGTGGGAATTGAACCCACGTCCTCTGGTTTAGCAATAAGGAACATTAACCGTTAAACTAACAGGCCAGTTTAAGGAGAAGAATATATGAAGCTTTTGTGATTTCATTTAATTACGGTCTTATTAAAAAAAAAACAATTGTTTCAAATAAAATTTACGGGAATTAACGCGCTCATGATAGATTACATCATCACATAAACAGCCTTTAACAGTCCACTGCTAGACATAGGCCTCTCCTTAGAAAGGAGATTCTGGACTACTATACCACGGTGGCCAGACGAGACGACCACGCGGACCCTATCCATACCAGGGCTTGTGTCAAGTTTTCCTTCTCTTTGTAGTGCTGTTGTCCTGCGTAGTTTGCTCCCTTGGTTGATTCTTACGTCACCCACGTGTTGAATAAGAGTGGTGACACTCCGTATTCTTAACCCACCACACGGAGAATACTGATAGTTATCATCAAGATAGATTTTTAGTACACTCCTTTGAATAGCCCCACGTTTCGACCAGGTTGCACTGGCCGTGGTCACAGCTGTTTTCTTTCGTATTTTAAACCAAAACTCTTTTAAATTTCCAGGTTGGAGCCTTCTTTGGTCAGAAGACGCATGGTCACGAACACGGGTGGGAACCCCCTCATCAGAAGGAGATACACCTGCACATCCACGGTCAGCACGGACCACATGAAGAACACATATGTAAGGAAACTTCCTTAATTATGCAAAGCATACAAGTCCTACGGCTCAATTAGTAGTATCATTATCATCATCATCAACAGCCTTTAACAGTCCACAGCTGGACATAAGCCTCTCCTTAGAAAGGAGGTTTTGGCCTACTATAATACGCTGGCCAGACGGGTTGGTATAGGGCACCGAGGCTCTGCCATGTCAATATACCTGTATCCTCCTGTATTTCCTGTACTTAGTAGTATAGTAACAACTAATTTATGACAGCCATAACAACATGGTATAAGGGGCAAACGAGCAGACGGGTCACCTGATGGTAAGCAACTACCGCCGCCCATGGACATCTGCAACTCAAAAGTCACAAGTGCGTTGCTGCCCTTGGAGTCCCTCCTGCAGTCAGCGGGAGGGGGGATTTGGGCTCCGGTAACCTCACTCACTAAGTGAAAGGCAACGAAAGAATTCCTTAACACCGGTTTTCGGTGAGGCCGTCGTATCACTCCGGTCGAGCCGGCCCATTCGTGCCGAAGCATGGCTCTCCCACGGTACTATTGGTCGCAATTATTGGCAATCTGGGAAAAGGGAATAAAACTTGTTGTGTTTCGGCGAGCGATCTAAATTGAACTTTATTACAATTGAAAGAGACTTCATATTTCTTTATAGACGTTCTTTGTCATATGTTTTAGTAGAAGATTATTTGCTGACCTTGAGTTCAAAGTCGACAGGCACTGGTAAATGATTACTATAAGGTGACCTGTGTTGCCTGTAGACGACTGGTGGTATACGTACTAGGGTTGCCTAGATATCAATCGAATTTGAATCTTAGTACCTACGCAATACAGTTTAAAATATGCTTCGGATGTTTTTTGAAGAGCCTTGCACACGTCATAACTACTAGATTAAGAAGATAGGTTTTTTTTTGGAGATATTTATTGAGGTGTATATCGTCAGGGAAACCAACAGAACAAAAAGAAGTACACATGCCACAGCCGTAGTCCGTGTGGTGACGGATTAAGAATACAGTGTCACCACCCCTATTCATCCGGTGGGGTGTCAAAGAGCCGACTGAGGGAGTAAACTACGTAGGACAACAGCACTGCAAAGAGAAGGAAAAGTTGACACAAACCCTATACCAACCCGTCTGACCAGCGTGGTATAGTAGGTCAAAACCTCCTTTCTAAGGAGAGGCCTATGTTCAGCAGTGGACTAGTAAAGGCTGTGGATGATGCCACAGCCGTAACTGAACCATCCAACATCAGGTTGAGTAACATCCCCAATAAATGGTTCCTTTTAGTAAGTCATCTATTTCGGAAAAAAACGCATGTTCAAAAGATATATTCACAAAAAAAAAAACTTGGAACTGAACAAAATACTTATATAGTTAAACTTAGGAGAGGTTAATAGGTGACTGAGAAGGTTAGCATATAGCAAAGTTCAGCAATCCTAGCCAGGTCAGTCTATGGATCATCATCATCATCATCATCAACAGCCTTTATAGTCCACTGCTGGACATAAGCCTCTCCTTAGAAAGGAGGTTTTGGCCTACTATACCACGCTGGCCAGACGGGTTGGTATAGGGTTTGTGTCCAGTTTTCCTTCTCTCTGCAGTGCTGTTGTTCTGCGTAGTTTTCTCCCTTAGTCGACTCTTACGACACCCACGGGTATGAATTGGGGTGGTGACGCTCTGTATTCTTAATCCGTCACCACACGGACATGGATGGGTTACCATTATTAACAAATTTAGACCCCTCCGTGTTGGCAGTGTGGCGTCAGTCGCTTCGCGTAAAAAATCTAAGTTCCGCCGTGTCGAATTAGACTGAGTGCAGACCCCAACCGGGCTTGTTGGTTTAGTGGTCAGTGGCTGGCTGCTAAGCCGGAGGACGTGGGTTCAATTCCCACCCAGGACAAACAATGTGTAATGAGCACGGTCATTTGTTCTGTGTCTCGGTGTAATTTATCTATAACTTGTATGTATTTAAAAAATATATAAGTATGTTTATCAGCAGTCTGGTTACCATAGTACAGGCTCGGCCTAGTTTTGGGTCAGATGGCGGAATGTATGAGGTTATATGTGTCCAAAATACGTCGTGAAAGTTTTACGATAAAATGGGTTTATCCAATGATGCAACGTATGTGTTGATAACCAAAAAAAATGGGTGCAGAGAAAGCGCCTTCCGTGTTGTGACGCAATAGACAAATCTATTTGAAAGTTGGGTTTTTGAGTGTCAACTGTTGGTACAGGGTTTGTGTCAAGTTTTCCTTCTCTTTGCGGTGCTGTGGTCCTGTGTAATTTGTTTCCTTAGTCGGCTCTTACGATACTCACAGAATGAATAAAGGTAGTCACACCGTATTCTTAATCCTTGACAAACGGAAAAACTTGTGTCACAAGATTAGAGATAGAAAACTTATTGCCAGAAGAGAAAATTGCTAATAAAATTATATGGTATACAAAAAAAAACATTATAATGTTTTCTTTCCGAAAATATAAATTTAAACGGCATTTACAAAAAAAATTTACTCGGCCTGTGGTTTGGACAGCTCTAAAACAAAATTAAATGCTAAATAGATTTTTAAAATTCTGAACATGATATCTATCGGTCGTTTTAGTAAACGGTCAATAAAAGTACGTGAATGTTATCACAGATGGCGCTAAATATAAATAGAGAAACGTTGTACTTTATGTGCATATAATTTTATAATAATATCTACTTTTGGCGTTTTATTCCTTTTGACATTCTTCATTTTATTCAGTTCCTGTTAGAAACTCAATAAAATTAAGAATGAACCAAATAATCAGACTTTCTTTTAACTCATGTGCCAATTTTATAATTGTATTTATATCTCTTTAAAAACTTAATTACTAATCTATGTTAATCATTGAATTTTATAAAATTTAAATTTATTTCACTAGTTTTACCATTTTCCACGAGATGTCATTGTTTATTTTTAGTACAATAACTATCCAATAGATGTCAGTAAACTGAACGTTTTATTACAGCGTCCTGGAACAGAGATGGCGCCATCAATTCATTGACGGACACCAAGAGCGTTAATTTAGTGTTAAATCCTTACGCTGCCGGTCCTCAAACTATCAGCACACCGTACGGGAATTACATAAGAGTAGATTCTCGGAATCACAATCAAGGTTTAACGAATCCAGAGTGATGTAAAAATAATAATTTACTACAATGCAATTGGAAGGTGATGGCGCCGTATACGCCATGTTAATTTACTTGATTCACCCACTATACTGTCACTTTTATAATTATTATAAGTCGAATGTGGGGAAAAAAAGGACTGTTTGGTTATGTTTTAAGTGCTATACATTAGAAAAAAAGTTTTTTTTTGATAAACAGAAAAAATCTGTACGAGTGATGTCTTTGCCTCTATTAATTTTCCATTTTTAAATTTGGTTTTAAATATGGAACGCGTTTTGGTAGTACTTCATTGGTACATCCGATGTTTTTTTTTTTTATTTGGATGCACCAAGTTGACTGTTTAGATTTAGGGTTTGACAAAATAGAACTATCATAGTCTATGGGGATTTAGGGTAGCTACAGAAAAGAAGGCTTTTTTATTTGTGATGGTATTATTTTAGGGGTGAAAGAAACCCCCAACTGTCTTTAGTCATTTTTGTTCTGCAATTTCGTTATTATATTTGGTTTTTTAAATAATAATAACAATTCACATAAGACTAATACTAGTTGCTGATTAGGGCACGTTCACACTATCTTACCGATTCGACTAGGTCAAGGTCACATAGTGTGTCCTTGACCTTAATCTATTTCGAACCCATAACCTCTGCTTTTCAAGACTTAATTAAATAGAATAAGTTATTTTAATATTTATGACCGTATTTTTCGTTACCATTTGTTCGATATAATATTTTGCTACTAGAGATGAATATTGTATTATAATAGTAATAATTATTTATGTGAGGCTAAGTTATTATTAATAGAATTAAATTAAATATATTTTTAATGACAATGTGTTTCATTGATTCATCCTTCATCAATCAATCAATCAATCAACAGCCTATACTAGTCCATTGCTGGACATAGGCCTCTCCTTAGAAAGGAGGTATTGGCCTACTATACCACTATACTATACCACGGGTTGGTATAGGGTTTGTTTCAAGTTTTCCTTCTCTTTGCAGTGCTGTTGTCTTGTAGTTTACTCCCTTAGTCGGCTCTTGCGACACCCACTTGATGAATAGGGGTGGTGACATTCCGTATTCTTAATCAGTCATCACACGGATAATCATCCACTGCTGGACATAGGCCTCTCTTTAGAAAAGAGGATTTGGCCTACTATACCTATACCTATATATATTATGGAATAGGGGGCAAACAAGCAGACGAGTCACCTGATGAAAAGCTACTACCCCCTATCATCATCATCAACAGCCTATACTAGTCCACTGCTGGACATAGGCCTCGTGAACGTCTGCAACTCAGGAGTCACAAGCGCGTTGGCAGCCTTTGAAGAAGGAGTACGCTCTTTTCTTTAAGGTTTGAAGGGTATAGGGTTTGTTTCAAGATTTCCTTCTCTTTCCAGACGTGTTGTTTCATTGATTATTAAAATAAATTATATTGCTTCCTTCACATGGTCAAATTGGGTAGTCAAACTAATATGTCAAACAGGAATATTTTTGTCAGATGGTCAAACTTCTCGGATAAGGGACGTTTGTTATAAATTGTCATATTTGTCATATTAAATTGAGTACAGTGATGATAAAAAATAGTTTTCATATGTATTATATTGCCAAAGTTTCCTGTTTTGATTGTATTGTTCTCTGATACATATTATTAAAAAAAAAACAGTGCTGCGGGAGTGCCGACAGAAGCGAAAACTTGAATTTTTTAAAATTTTTGATTATAACAGGTTTTTTTTTTGTTTTTGCCATTCAAAAAGTTCCGACATGAATATATATCTATGTTATACGTATATACACAATATATGTTTATATTATATATAGTTATATTATCAATGTATATACCTAAACTCAACTCTCGTGTAAACGGGGCCAAGATATGTTTGGGATATGGTATTTCATAGTGAAATCTATCAGAAATTATGGCAACAACAACCCATTAAAGTATTTAAGTCGACTTACCCAGTAACCCTGTATATATCATATTGTGGATAAATTACACCGCCCTTTTTACCATGGGAGAGTCACGTTAAGGCACGAATGGGCCGGCTAGACCGGAGTGATTACCACGGCCTGGCCACAACCCCTTTTTAAACAATCATACCTCTTCACTGGGTGAGTTAGGTCACTGGAGGGTCAACCTCTGCGTTTGGTTCTGACACACAGTACCACCGAAATCTTTGTTAAGGGTCCGAGGGGGTTTCCACACGTAAAAAAAAGAACCAACCCATCCTACCATACACCATCACATAGCGATGTCATCACATGTAATGGTATAGGTATGTGTAACATGTAATGCCGTTTCGGAGGAGTTCAACCACGCACACAGTGACACGAGAATTTTAATACTAATTAAAATTAATATATATTAAATTATATTATTTAAATAGTATAACTTACCACTTACGTCCACTTGTGCTTTAGAGCCCAAAAATGCAGATTACACTGATACCTAAACGTTTATTTGTGAAATATAAAATATTACCATTTACATTCAGTAAATCTGTATATTTGTGTTCAGGAAATCTGTATATATATTACTTTTCAAAAAAATTAACAGTGACAAAAAGACAATAGGTTCCCTAATTAATTGCTGGTTCCTAAACAGCAGAAATTAATTCTCTATGGCTACACAAATTTACAATAGGTTGCAAGTTGCCCAATGGCATCAAATCCCATTACTTTAGCAAGCAAACGTAAACTAACTAACTAATTAGCAAGTGTTATTATTCAACTATCTAATTTCTCACTAACAAAGAAATATGTATAAACGGAATATTACTGTCCAGTCTCAAGATTAGTTATGTACGGTTAAAAAATTGTACAAAAGAGATGGTAGGAACTTTTTTTTTCACGAACCTCTCAAATCACAAAACCACTTTTTATATAAAAAACAAATATTAGATTACGACGTTTTACATTCTGCCAGAGGGCTCATTTCGTTTTTTCTCCTTTAGATATGCAGCTACGGATAACCATTATTAAAATAAAAACCGGACTAAATTTACTAAAGTCTAGGAGTAATTAATAACATTGATTATAAATGTCTGCCTTATACTACAATGTTTCAAGAGCGTGAATGTAGAAAATCTTCTATTCTAGCGAGCGAACCCGCTGCCCTTGACACGTAGTCTACTTCGCTAGTTACACAGTTAGACTTACATTAACGACTAGACCTGTAGGTGTATGTTAAGATAATAATTTTGTAGATTATAAAAAAAAACCTTCAAGAAAAGAGCGTACTCCTTCCTAAACTCAAACTCAAACTTTCTTTAAAATTTCCAAAATTGTTTGAAATCGTCTTCCATGTAGACTCTAAAGTCATAGATCAACACACACAAAAGCAACAATCTCTGTTTTGTCAAATAGTAACCAAATAAATTTAACAAAAATCAAACCCATACAAAATCTATGATATGCCTGTGCCGATCTACAACCGCCCGTTTCCAAGGGCTTGAGCCTTATGAGAAGAAAGGGCAAACAAACTCATGGCCACTCTTTTGCAATTCACAGATAGATACAATGGCACTATTAAAAGGCCGGCAACGCGTTTGTGACTCCTGAGTTGCAGACGTTCATGGGCGGCGATAGTCACTTTCCATCAAAACAAAAAAAATCATTTTTTTATACTATGTAATGCTATGTCAACGAACAGTGAAATTGCCTGGTGGAAAATGACCTGGGGTGCATAAAGGAGCCTTCCCGCAACGTTCTGGAAGCAGCCAGACACAGTAACTCAGAGTCTAGGCTGACTAGTGACATGGAAGTTATTGCTACTTTTATATCGTAATCATTTACTGAAATTGAAGGTTTTAGTCACTGTGATTTCACCTGTAGTAAATCATTACTTAGATTTGGTCATCAAAATCATTCAAACCGCCCGTTCTTTTTTGTTTCTTTTTAGATTTAGTATAAGTCGTTGTGTTGTAATAGACTGTCCGTGTGGTGACGGATTAAGAATACAGATTGTCACCACCCCAATTCATCCCGTGGGTGTCGTAAGAGCCGACTAAGGGAGCAAATTAAGCAGGACAACAGCACTGCAAAGAGAAGGAAAACTTGAAACAAACCCTATACCAACCCGTCTGGCCAGCGTGGTATAGTAGGCCAAAACCTCCTTTCTAAGGAGAGGCCTATGTCCAGCAGTGGACTAGTATAGGCTGTTGATGTTGATGATGTTGTAATAGATGAGTCACAAGTGTGATTAAATGATGAGTCACAGGTGATTGTGATTTTATCCCAAGCCTACTGACTAGACTCTCACTGCAATGGTTCGAACACCCACTGGTCCCCCTCATCCACAGGAAACAACTCCGATCCTTCTCAGGGCCCATAACAACGACGACAACTTGTTCTGTTCTCCTGGAGCCCTCCGTCCTTCTTTGGTCATCGTGTCTGTTAATATAAAGGGGTTTTACATTGACAAAGCTGTGTTTTAGTGACCTGCAACTGAAGTGACAGTGTGTTGCTGCACTATGAACGTTCCCTCCACAGAATTAGAAGGGGTGGAGGGGATTGTGTCACCGGGAAGTTTTGGTAATTTGAATTTATAATATTGATGTTAAAAACTATAAAATAGTAAAGTTTTTTTTAATGTATTTTATAGTGCTGGAATTCTAAGCGTCGTAGCTTATAAAATTTACCAATATTTCTCTGAAAATAAAATATTATTTTTTCTTGAATTCAATTATCTCACTGAAACAAGTTTTTTTTAATCTTCTAAAAGTTGGCAACCCTCGCTACATATAAATCGTTTAGTATTGTAGGCTGACCATAAATTTGGGTGTCAAAAGTGGGAAATTTGTGATAAGTTTTGTAACACGAATTTGCCTATTTCTAATACATTGTATGTGACATAAAACGCAGGCGAAATTGCTGGGAAATGCTAGTATATATATAATAATAATAACATATCTTACAAACTACGCAGAGCCTGTGCCAACCAGACTTCTGATAAACATACTTATACGAGTACGACGACCGCATGGCGTTGTGGTTTGTGTAACGGACT